GTGTGTGTGTGTGTGTGTGTGTGTGTGTGTGTGTGTGTGTGTGTTGAGTGATGGGTGACAACAGGTGATCTCTCTCTGCTGGTGTGTGTGAGTGTTGTGAATTTACTCTGCAATTCATTTCCACCTTGAAGCTATTGAGCCACTAAATGTTTCTGATAATAGTGAGAATTTTGAAGTGATTTCCAAATGCAAAACAAGCAAAAATAGTTTGGATTATTTATTTTTTATGTCTGTAAGCATCATTACACTTATTAAAAATTGATTCTGTGTTCTTTCTTGCTTCTTGTCGGCCAATTTCAACCTTGAAAGAGCAGTGAGTACTAAATGATAATTGTGGGGCTTTTGGAGTGATTCTCAAAACTATTTATGAAAATGCATTTTTTAGTCTTTAAACATAATTAACTTTGATTAAAAAAGGATTATGTGTTCTTTCTTGCCTTTTGGTAACAATGTCCATCTTGAAAACAGGCATTAAGTCTCACTTAATCTGATAAATGTGGGACTTTTGGAGGGCTTTCCAAATTCAAAACAAGCAAAATTCTCAAAACGATGGATGGAAATGTGTTTTTTAGTCTTTAACTATCATTCAGTTTTATTAAACAGGGATTATCTGTTCTCTCTGGCCTTGTGTTTACTGCAGTCTGATGAATTAGAGCTCCACTGTTTGCAGGATGTTCTCGCTTAAAGCCTTTGCTTGTTCTGCACACAGCACATATTGGGTAAATATTGTGGATTTAGTATAAGCTTACTGCAGGATGTTTAGAGTAAAAATATTCCGGCTTTCATTAAACAAACTCTGCATGGATATAGATACCATAGATGTTTGTATATCATGATATTATCACAACACTGTGACACTTTGACTGAGAGAAGCTTAATGAGTTTCCTGTAAAATCTCACGCCACGATTGACATTTTCTACCGTCGTTAAACATGTGTGTGTGTGTGTGTGTGTGTGTGTGTTTACCACAGCAGGGGGTTACCGTATCCCATGTTACCTAACCAGCCTTTCCTGGACCCCAGCAGAGTGGGTGTCATCCCTGCTATCTCACCCATTTACAGACATTATGCTACGCAGCAAGGCACAACACATTACAGA